GGATTCTCTCTATTCCGTCCTTGGGCTCTTCAAACATTTCGTCCTGAATGGTGTCGAAGACAAAATGGTGGTATCTCTTTAAAAGACTTCACTCAGCCCTATTTTATGCGCGTGACATTCCGCCAACGAGATCCCAATGCCATATTGCCTCAACTTGAGTTTTGCACTCGCTGACAATGCCATTTGCGCTTCAGGTGTGTTGTTTCAATTCCTCATATCCAGTCCATGCAGTTGTCATGACGAATTCTTTCTTATTTTGTGATCCGAACTTTTGCTTTTGAATTGTGATGTTCTTCCGGCCTCCTTTTTCTTCTTACTTGGTTTTGTTGCTATTTTGGCTTAGTCTTCTCATCATGACCAAACGTGATTCGGCTGTCGCTAATCTTCCCTCGCCTCGTGACCTTCGCAGACCTTCGCATGGCTTTTGCACATGACCTGGATGCTCCTATGGAATCGATTTCAGGGTACTCTGCTATGGCAACCCCGCCTCCTATGCCATCTTCAGAAGACACTTCGTCCTTTCCACATCCACACTTCGCAACCCGCTCGGAACTCCAACCCAGGGAATACCGTCAAAGAACATTCCACACTTCCACTTTCAAAATCTTTGAGTACGGCTAGAAAGCTCCTGAACTTGTGGTCGAAGAACTTGATGACACGGGATACATGAAGATCAAAACCCCTGAGACATTCTTCCATGGCATCGTAGGTCATGTTCGGGATCGGCATGGTCAACGTATTGACAGATGGGCTCAAGCAGCCACTTTGGCCAATTACTGGCGACGATACTACAACATGACAGAAAACACGTGGCCATATCATGACTATGACAACTCCAGCAGGACAACCTCCCTCAGCTCACAGACCCATCGGCTGCTGGGCCTGATCAACTTCAAGTACCTCATTCGACTACCCAGCTTTCGCCCTTGCTACATGGCATTCTCCTTCAAGACCCGGACGGCAATGCTTCAATCCTGAAGGCACTGAATGCAGCATCATCATCCTCATCATCGGCAACTTTGAATCATGATGGACTGGCCTTCTTAGCTGGCCACTTGGCAATTCTGTCCAACTACCTCCCTCGACGCGGCGCCGTGAACACGGAACTCTGAGGCCTCCGATTTGCAGGCTGGTAAGTCCATCAATTGCAATTTGCCCGTCATTTTGATCCAACATGATCCGTTTCGGTGCAATCTTCCAAAAAAGCCCTGCTGCTGCGGGGCGTGTGTGTGAAACATCTCAACAGATGTAAAACTTGTCGCTGGGATTTCTCGGTTCTTTGATATTTGTTTTTTTCGAATTTCAATTCCAATCTTGAAAAGCAGGGGGCAGTGCACGACTAACAGACACTGCCCGACAAAGGCACTGTCAGCTCGTGGTGATATGGAGTCTGATCAACTCTACATACCTGCAAACCATTTTGATTTCAGTCCGTATGGCAAGCGGCCAAGCCAAGAACCGCACAGTTGGATCTCATTTCTACACGGGTTGTCGCAATCTGAGAATTCCTTCGGCATCATTTCAACATTTGAGTACCTGGTATTTGTCCGACAATTTCATTTCAGTTTTGAACCGGGTGGGTTGATGGCGCAACTCAAAACGGCAATGTAACTTCCTGGCTATGACGATGGTAGCTGTGACTTTTTAGTTGGTATTTGTTTGACGGAGGGCTATTTATTTGTGTTTTTTTTTCGCGGCAGGTTTTGGATTTTTTTGGGGGTTCCTGGTTCTATGCTTTCCTGTTTCTCTGATTTTCTGCTTTGCTTCTCTGCTTTTCTGCTTCTCTGCTTTTCTGTTTATTTGCTTTTCTGCTTCTCCGCTTACATTGTTTCTCTGCGTTTCCTGCTTTTTGCTTCCCCTGTTTCTCTGTTTTTCCTGTTTCTCTGTTTTTCCTGTTTTCTTTGCTTTTTTGTTTCTCTGTTTTCCCTGCTTCTCTGCATTTGTACTTCTGTGTTTTTTATACTTCTACATACTTCTACTATTCTACTTTTTCTTTTCTTATTCAGTCATGTGTTTCTGCTGCTCTACTTCCTGCTCCTTTGCTTCTTTGCTTCTTGTCTTAATGTCTCTTTGTTCTTCCCCACCTGCCAGGTGAGGGTTGTTAGATTTTATGTCAGTTGCCTGCTCCTCCTCTCCTCCTCTCCTCCTCATCTCCTCCTCCTCTCCTCCTCCTCCTCCTCGTCGTCCTCCTCCTCGTCGTCCTCCTCGTCCTCCTCGTCCAACTGCGTCCCGCGATCCACAGTGTTCTCTGTCGGACCTCAACCACGACCATCCATGCTCAGTGTTCCCTGCCGGACCGCAACCACGACCATCCACGTCAGTGTGCCCTGCCGGACCTCAACCATGACCATCCACGCCCAGTGTTCCCTGCCGGACCTCAACCACGACCATCCACGCCCAGTGTTCCCTGCCGGACCTCAACCACGACCATCCACGCCCAGTGTTCCCTGCCGGACCTCAACCACGACCATCCACGCCCAGTGTTCCCTGCCGGACCTCAACCGCGACTTCCAGATCGCAGTGGGCACTGCCGGACCTCAACCGCGACTTCCAGATCGCAGTGGGGACTGCCAGACCTCAACGGGAAGATATGCCAGATAGAATGTCAGAAGATATGCCAGATAAAATGCCATGAGATATGCCAGATAGAATGCCAGAAGATATGCCAGATAGAATGCCAGAAGATATACCAGATAGAATGCCAGAAGATATGCCAGAAGGTATGCCAGAAGGTATGCCAAATAGAATGCCAGATAAAATGTCAGATAGAATGCCACAAAATATGCCAGATAGAATCCCGGAAGATTTGCCAGATAATTTGCCAGAAGATATGCCTTTGTCTGACATTATATGTTTTTTGATATTTCTTTCCAGAGCTGTGGAGTATGTAGCTATATATGCCATGGTGGGGATCATTCGAAGTGAAGTAATTCTTTTTTTTTTTGCTTTATTCTGTTCTGTTTGTATCCTAATGAAACCCTAGAGAGACCCTGAGTGAAACCCTAAAGAAATCCTGATAAGAAACCCTACATGAAACCCTAAATTGAGACCTAAAGAAACCCTAAATGAAACCTTACATGAAACCCTAAATGAAACCCTTAATTGAAACCCTAAATGAAACCCTAAATGAAACCCTAAATGAAACCCTAAAGAAACTCCTAAAGAACCCTTAATGAAACCCTAGATAAAACCCCTAAAGAAACCCTAAATGACACCCGAAATGAAACCCTAAAGGAACCCTAAAGGAACCCACTTGAAGGTTTAGAAAGCGTGAAAAGAAATCCTGACAAGAAACCCTGGAATGAACCTTAAAGAAAATTTAAATGAACTCCTGAATGAGACTCTAAGACTCTAAATTGAAACCTTAAATTGAAACCCTAAAGAAACCTTAAATGAAACCCTAAAGAAACCCTAAATGAACCCTAAAGAAACCCTAAATGAAACCCTTGATGAAACCCTAGAGAAACCCTAAAAAAACTCTAAATGAAACCCTAAAGAAGCCTTAAATGAGACCCTACATGAAACCCAAACTGAAACCCTAAATGAAACCCTAAATTGAGACCCTAAATGAAACCCTTATTAAAACCCCAAATGAAGCCTTAAATAAAACCCTAGATGAAACCCCAAACCTTAAATGACACCCTAAATGAAAGCCTAAAGAACCCTCAAGAGACCCACATGAATGTTTGAAGTACCAAAATGTAGCAAATACCATGCAAATACCATGCAAATGAGAGGTTGACATGCTAAAACGTGACAAATACCATGCAAAATGGAAGGCGAACATGGCTAAATGTAGCAAATACCATGCAAAATGTAAAGTGACCATGCCAAAATGTAGCAAATAGCATTGGCTGGTTCTATTTCCAAACTGTTGCAAATGACGTTCATTGCAACTCGAAAGGGAGGGGTCAGCTTCCAATTTCCATTTTCCTTCCATTCTGATCAGGCTTACTGGAGTGTTTTTGCACGTGAGATGCATTCCACATCACAATTCGATAGACAATTCTGAGCAAGTGTGTGCGTGTGTGGGCAAGTGTCAGTATTACATTGGGCAGTCATGGGCGGTCACGCGCAGTCATGGTCCTTGTCTCTTGTGAAATTTGCCCTGACGTTGGAAAAGTTCTGTTGCAACCTGGCGCCTGTAGCTTTGAGTTGCACAAACTTGCATTCTGACAAGCCCTGCTGGCTTGTACTGTACCTGTTCAATGTTTGATGCTGATGATAATGACGGCGATGAGCAGGATGATGACAGCAGTACTGGTATTGACTATCATTAAATTATACTGGACGGTAATGAACCATTCTGGTTCGGAACCAGAGGAGTAGCCCTCGAACAGTCCGCAATTTAAATTCCTTCTTAACAAAGATTGAGCTTCAGAGCTAGTTGCCTTCTAGTTGTGTCATCTTCTGTGGATTTCTGTGGACGGTTCAGGTTTCATACTTCTGACGGGCTACGGGCTGGAAGTATTGGTGAAGAGTCTGAAGAGTTGTCCTTGCACGTTGTTGACTCTGGAAGAGTTGGTCTTCCACTGCAGGGATTCTTTTCCAGGAGCCAACCAACTCGCAGCGTCCTGCGCAAGCAAGCCCAAAAGGTCAGGGTACAGGTAGGAGACTCAGGAGACGTGCATAGAATTGGCAACTCATGGCATTATTTATTGTTATGCGCAGATTGGGCTGAGACTCGTGCAAGATGTTTATAGATTCGGCTGCTGAGGCTTTGCACAGTATCAAGACAAGTCACTACCCCAGAACTCGCCAACACCAAGAGACCACATGAACTTCGCCAACACCAAGAGTCTGGCTGTCATGCTGTCACGGTCAGATGTTTGAAGCCTGTTTCTCCAGAGCCAAGGCTACCTCTACCTTCGCTCTTCCCAAGGGACGAATGGGTCACTCGAGACCAAGCCGCAGTCAAGGGAAGTCACTCGGCCATCGGCCCCGAGCAACACACAGAGACAGCGCGTCACACAGTTTGCAGCGGCACCACACAAACGCAG